TGCCTCTCAAAACTGTCTCCTTTTCATCCGGCTCGTCGATGCTACCACGATTTTCGACTGCCTGTGCAAGGTATGTCCAGCCTACTTCCTTATAGGACGGTGTGTCCTGTATTTTCAGAGAATTTGTGGAATAATCTCTAGAACCTTCACATGTGGCCATGTTTACATGTCTCCTTATAATAGCAGTTTAATTTGAAGAAATTTCTTGAAATAGCTGCTGTTGTACTTTTTGTCGCCTTTGTTGCTTCGAATATGTACCACTTTTGCGATATACTTATCACGATGACCTTGGAAATGGTCCAATAAAAGGTCTTAAATTTTCGATGCGCTTGATTAGTTTTAAATTTGCTTTGATTGCGAGTTACCAAGCCCTCATAGAACCACTGTATGGATAGAACATTAAACTTTTCAAATCTCCTTCCTTCCCTAGTGCTTTTGTGACTTTATCTTCCTATTGCAGGCTACTCTCGAGCTCATCCAAAATTGTTTCTGTGTCGCAACCTGTAAATAGAATTATCACTGTAGAATGGGACGACGGTAAGCCCTATTTTCGTTAATTTCTGAGTTTTAAAACATTTGCCAACATCGACTAGGTTGGAGAAGTTTAATATGGCATACAAATGTGAAATGACTGGATAATTTCGGTTATCACGGCACATCGGTCTTCAACCAGTGCCTTCAGTTCGTCACTGTGCCACGTCGTTGGCAGCCTCTGATAACATCTGATTGCAACTCAGATGTTATCAAGCATAAGCAAATCAACTGAGTAACTGCCACGACCGACTTTCTATTAACCTCGGCATTGATCAAGTGATTTTCTTCGTATTTTTGTTGAGCAAACGCGAGGTGTTACTATTCCTTGTTCACGATTAAGCTGACGTTTCGGCGGATTTCGCCTTCTTCAGAGCCTGGAAAGGTCAAGTTGATAGCAATCCACTCGGCCAGACGCCTCCATAACCAAACAAAGAAACTCCAAACCAAGATTTCAATCACTTTGAACACAGCTTTGCACACTCACCGCTTTCTATGAGGTTTCCACTAAGTATGTCACGTAGAGACCAACCGCACAGAAATCACGTGGAAGTATAATGTGCCCCTTACATCAGAAAAGCAGTTTTATATACTGCCCAATATCACGCGTGATAATGAGGCATTCTTCCCTGCGGTTCATTTTCGGATTTCTGGAATCAATCCAGAGTGCCTCGAGAGTTTTTCGCGCCTGTATTCTTGATTCGCATGCGAGGATCGTGACACATACTTCGAAGTCGTCCCCGTTATGTCTCTGGGTCCTATGCGTGCCTAGCGGGGTATTTGGTCTATTTTTGCCGGCTAGGTGTTCTTTCATGCGGACACAGAGGGGTCTACCCGTTTCGCCAATGTATTCGTCACCACATGTCTTACAGGAGATCAGATAAACTATACCCGAGCTCATGCAATCACCGTCTCTACCACTGGGGCAAATTATGCAATTTTGAGTTGCACATAGACGGTCATATAGGCGGTTACGAACTAGCTGGCGCTTAAGATTACTCGGTGGTATTTCAACTAAGCTCACCGAATTCTCTAAGCCCGCCCTTAAGCAGCGTTTTATAGCTGTACTTATATCATTTGAGATGAAGGGTAGGATAAACGGGACCCTTCCATCGCTAGAGTTGTCGTTTGGAGGCCTACGATTTCCTCTACACCTATTCTGAGCTACAGTTTCGTAGCCATTAGAAACGGCTATTTGCCGTGCCAAGTTCCGGGACTCCTCTCTCTGCTCTCTTCCCGTGCACACGTTGGTTGCTGTTCGAAACATGTTTCTNTTTCGGCTTTTCTCGGGTGAACTTGATATACTCTGACTGTGCGTTTAACAATTCGAAGCATTTGTCCATTTCCTCTTGTGTTGAGCAAAGGACAAAGCAGTCGTCTACATACCTACAGTAGAGTAGCGGCCCGAGATCAGTCACCGGTGCTTCCACCTTAGACATAAATGCAATGGCAAGGCTTGGAGCCAGTCGTTGTCCCATTGCCAACCCTCTTATTTGAGCGTAGTACTTTCCAGACCATCTGAAGATTGAGCAGTTCAAGCATTCTTTTAAGAGTGCCATCAGGTGCTCTATCCTGAAGCCATACATGTTTATTTCTCCTTCGTGTTGTGTAAGGAGTTCGAATATGGCTTGCATTGCGGAGTCATTCGACACGTTTGTATAAAGGGCGGTAACGTCGAAGGACTCCATCACGTACACGCTGCTGGGCTGCGCAGTACGTAGACGATCCAGAAACATCTGGGTATTCGTAAGATGGGCAGGAATGTGTTTCAACAACTGGTTAAATATTAGGGTTAAAAACCATGTTATCCTGTCCGTTGGCCCGTCTACACAGCTAATGATAGGTCTAACCTTAAATAGTGATGGATCGGTAGACGTAAGATCATCGCTGGATACTAACTTATGAGTTTTTATAAGTAAGTACAAGACGGGGCATGTTGGTAAGGCAACTTTAAGTTGAGAGATAACTGATGGTTTCAAACCAGCAGCCCTTGCCATTTTGGCCCATTCGTGGTTTAATTTTCGGTATTTACTTTTGAATTCCTCCTCAGATGATGGGCGATAAAGCGAAGCATCTTCAAGATGCTTTTCGTTATCTCCACATCTAACTGATGAGGAATTACGACAAACTCTCCACCCTTATCACTAACGGAAAGTTTTATGGTTTTCAACCTTATCAGGTTTCGTACCTCTCGCATACCACGTTTTTGCACTGGAGTGAGGTTGGAGCTGTATGTTTTCGCGCGATAGTGATTAAGGACTTTGAGAGTTTCATTCGCAAACATCCGAAATTTAACATCAACTTCATTATTGGGCTCTTGTTGTCTAAAGAACGTCGGGGGAAATGGTGCTATTGGTAGGGCCCCCACTTGGTGTCGTTCGCAACTATTTAGCGCTTCATCTCTAGCTTTTTTGCGGAGTCTACCTTGAAGTTCATGTAAACCACATGCGAGCCTACGCAAGGTTGTCTTAGGAATGGATTCAGATGGTGAGAAACTCGGCCCCAATTCTAGTAACGAGCGCGCACCGTCAGGGAGAGTTATGTCTCCTAATCAACTGAGTAAATGAGAAGACAAAGGTCGGCGGAATTCGTCTAAATATCGATCTTTGCCATATATGTCACTATAAACTTCTTTTTTCGAGACTGCCAAATTATAGGCACGACATTCTGCTTATTCACCACTTACATTGCACAAGAAGCCGACAAAAAACTGCAATGTTTAGGGTATAGCAGAAATTTATAACATTAGTTTCGTACTTCAAAACCCTATTTCCATTTATCTTCGGAGTGGTCAAACAGTATTCTCTTGGATTACCAAACTAAAACGACGTTCGTATAAAGTTTGACTCCGCTATCTCTTCGGTGCTCTCGCATTCTTCAATGTCCAGTTGATCCGAGCCCATTGTCCACAGCTTTCCTCTCTCGCGATGTGGTTCCCCGTCGTCACATCGAATCGGATCTTCTGAAGTGGAGGCTTTGGAAAAGGCAAAGACGCTGAAACGCTAGTCGAATAACCTAGTTCATAACAGCCTAGTGTTATGTCAACCTTCTAAGAAAGTGGCGTAATTGGTGTAAAAAATCGGAACTGTAAAGAATACATGTCATAGTCTCACTATTTGGAAAGCATTTAACAGGGCTGATAGTTTGAACAAGCAACCGCATAGCATCTTTAAAAGATAAACTAGTGTTAAGCTAGTGAGCTAGTGTTAAGCTTGTAAATGCGTCTTCAAAAAACTGCGGGGAAATTGACGTCTATTTTGCGATCTCTATTTGTCTTCATCATTATTGATAAATAGAAAAGCTGAATAACCGACTTCACGACGTGTAGGAACGGTTTCATAGTGGGACATTACAAACGGTGACACATAATTCATCACAAAACTTACTGAAATGTTACAACATCAGAACCGCGTGTAGCCTAGTGGCTAATTCTCAATGTACTAGCCTGTTCCATCAAATGTAGAGCAACATTACCACAGTAACACATCATTCTACAAAAAAAGTCATTGTTGATGTAAAGGTGTTTCACAAGAGGACACCATCTAAGCAAAGCTCTTCAGTGCTTCATTGGGCAGTACAATATGCCCAAATTAAAATAAAAAGTGCGTGGATCTACAGTAAATGAAGGATGGATTAATACGTAAAAGTATCAGCAAAGAACAAAATTTACTGTTGCTGAACTCTGCGTTATTGAGCTATCCAATAGAGATGTCAACATCTTCTCAGTGAAAATTCGCAAGCTCTGGTTTAACTAGGAAGCTGTCAGCTACCTATGTAGCTTCACTCTGAGATATCAGTTGAAGAGTCCTAGGAAACAGAAGCCACTTTGTGGATATCGAGCTTGGCTTTCAAAGCAATATCGCGAATGTGTGAAAGGAGCCAACTGTATTCCGTACCGATTTTTCAGCGCGCGTGATGCGCATTGCGCGGACGCGTCCAGCAATACACATGGGATCGAACCCCACACCTACGGCCCGCTAGGCCTTCCATCTCTCCGGGGTCGGCAGATTACCAGCAGACTTGTCTGGGTGGATATTAGCACTGGCTCGATACAACGATAGGCTACCGCGAGTTATTGTCAAATCCAGGCAGGTTTGCATTCAATCACTTCCAAACGACGCTTAATGAAGTCGAATTCATGGTCCCTCTAGGATTGATCAACACCGAGAGCTCTGTCCTTTATCCTTAGATTATTTTTCTATTCTAGACGGATTACTCAAAAAAAAGTTAGTATCAACGTTAAGATAGAAGTGGCAGAGAACCGAAGAACGTTATAATTTGTAAGATGCTTAAAATGAACCAGCAACAGCCACAAAGAGGGTTTATTGCATCATGTGAAACGTGGGTAATGTTATAATACGAAACTTGAAACTATGCATGTATGGATAGCTTTTTTTGATCACCTATTATGAGTGCATCTAATCGCCGAGCGAGGTCTACTTGTATATTAAAGAATAGAAACATTAATCTCACGGAAAGAATTTGAACGCTTTGACGGAGAATCCGTTCTGCTCGAACGCTTCGGTGAGTGTGTGCTCGAAAATGTTCGACGGAATGTTCGACAGATGGAGAGTGTGGCTAGGTGGGTAAATGTTCATGTAGCTCTTGCTTCCTGGTTTCTTGAAACGGTGCAGTGGAGAGTGGGAGTAGTCCCTGGTGAGGCCTGCGTCTGGTTAACTTGTGGAACAAAACTTCACCGAAATCACTTCTCGGTGATTCAAAAAAAATTCTAGGGTGCTAGGGAGAGGAGAAAAGAAAAAAACCAGCACTAACAGTTTTATTTAAAACACGGTCGGTTTGACCATGCTTTGAATTGATTTGGGATAAAACGCCGTTTTTGAGAGCTTTTCCTAACCACGATCTGTGGAACATTGAATAGTTAATATAGCTCAAAAACCAAATAAAAATTTGATTCTGATAGAAAAAATTTTAAATGTTAACAACATAAGTAAAGGGTAAAAGAATAAAGCTTTCGGCGTTGATCAATCCCTAAAGGATGCTCCATGTACTCGATTTTATTGAGCATCGTTGGAGGTGATTAAATGCATATCTGACCTTTACAATGGCTCGCAGTGGCTTACCGATGTATCGAGCTAGTGTTGCTATCCTCCCAGACAAGTTTGCTACCAATTTGCGGACCCCGGGGGAATGGAATGCTTCGTGGGCATGAGACGCGGGAATCGATCCTATGTGTATTGTATTGCAGGTCGCCTCCGACCACTGCGCTACACGCACTTCTTGAGGGTGGAAGAATGTTAAGTAATATAACTAGGTACTGGTATTATGACTAATCATTGAACAGAGCGCGTATACCGTACCCTCATTGGCTGTGAAAGGACAATAGTGTTACCAATTAGAGAACTAGTGATTGAATTGAAGACGTAGTTGTGTAAGTATAGGCTAAAGCCAGAGTGAAATCCGTTACTGAGGGAGCCGATTACAGGACATATAAGACGTATAAAAAGTGCATTGAGGTAGTGTATGATTTAACATTTTCACCCAGGTTCTTTTGTTGTGTTTGCTTCAACATTAACCGTAAGGTTGTCTCTCAAATCGAGCAACTTTTCAGGAATGAAAGGGAAATTTCCTGTGATTTGGTTGAGAGACTGCTCGTTGGATCCAAAGACGTACTCCATCGGGCCAGCTATGACCGCCAGGTATTTCTCGATATTCAGGCCAAAAGTAGATGCAAAGAACATTTGATCACAATATAAGCGAAGAATAGCTGTTTAGCGAACATTATTTGGAGATCTCTTTGAAAGTCAGTACTTACTTACTTGGAAGCTTGCAAGGCCTGTCTTTACTGGTTGTGCGGCTCTACCATAATTTTCATTCGTCTTTCTATCGTGGAATCGTCCTCCATGCTGGTGGTCAGCTTCGAACACGATGACATCCACGAGGCCCATTCCGTAATGGTGATATCGTCCCCATCTGCGTGTGCAGATGGCTGACGTTCGCAACGAACGCTTCTCCACATCGTTTGGATTGTCTTCCAAGAAGGCTACTGAATCATCTTGGAATCCCCTCCACTGCCCTTTTCGTCCAACTATCATTTTTTTACCGTGTGACCAGCTCATTTATGTTTCGATATTGATCCATATTCTTTGATCCCGGAGATGGGAGTGGTTTCAAAGACCTGATCTGCGCGTCCCAACGAAACGTTGTGAGTGCTGGTTGAATTTCGAACAACATTGATAACATTACAAGTGCTCTATGGGTGGTGAACAGATTTATTGAAATAGTAGAAGTATCGGCCCACGTCTGTGCTGCAGAGTGCTGAGAGGACCGTTGAATCAAAAAGGTGAGCCCGTAATTTTGGGTACGCTTGTTGGTTGGTAGCTTGTTTAAGAGGTCCGAATGCTGCCCATGCTGTTGCTCTACTTCTGCCTATTTCTGTTGACCTCCATGTCCATTCAACGTCGAAAGTAAACGTACAAAGTGATCTCTGCAATCGCAGAACCATTATTGGAATAGAATCCAGTTCGGTGTGTTTACCTTCGCACCATGGATACTTTACGATCTGGGTCTTCGCGCTATTTATTCTCAGCACTATCTTTCTCCCACCTCTTTGAGTTCATTTGAGGGTTTTGTCTCTGCTTCACTATACTCCTAAAAAAGGTAACGATGTCATCCTCAAAACAAAACTCTGATGGAAATTTTCAACCAATACGTGTGCTCTCCTCGTCCCATTAGAATGGCTTAGCTTTACCATTGTAGCGCGGAAGCAAACACCCTTGGTGATACTGTATCATATTTTCGAAGCTCTTCACCTAAGGGTGTGGCTTGTCGTTGGTGAAAAAAATGTCCATTTGTGCTGCATTTCCGATAAAAGCATGGTAGTGTTCGTATAAAAGACAGGTCTATTCCTTGGTTGACGAGCCTCTATTGAATTGCACTTGTTTCGACGCTCTCGAACACTTTCTCGAAGTCGATGAAGGTTAGGACAAAGGGCAATTGCGTAGGGCCTCTCGGCCACTTCCTGGGGCGACAGTACGTAACACCGTCCACTGGCCTGGGAACTGGAAGTGGGAAGTCACATTGGTTACAAGAAGTACCTACAGGCAATCGTTTCCAGCTCTAAGGAAATCAGCGGTGATATTATGGAGTTATGAAACTGTACCTCTCTTCACGCTTCCTCTCACTTTTCGAACATGTGAGAGTAGAAACACGAGTGGTTCTTCACCAGCGTGGATTTCGAAGACGGATAGGAGGGTTGTAAAGAAGGAAAAAATTGTCGTAGAGCTTTGATGCCGTCAATTCCATAGCATGGCTGCATGAAGTGATAGCCATACCTCCCGTTCATCATGGCGGGTAGCAGAATGCAAAGATCCCGACAGTTCTTATTTAGACTGGATCGTTTTTGAGCTCCTTTCAATATATCTTTTGTGTTTATATCGACGTAGATCCTCGTGCAAGGCTCTTCGATAGGTGACATTTATTATTAGCCGTATAAGGTGTGTTCTAGTAAGATTAAGCTTTAGTGTCTTCCTATTTTAGAGCAACTTTATAACGGTAATGGAGATGCTGTCTAAACTTCTCGTTTGAGGAATTTAGAGGAGTTTTACACAAGTTTTAAGCCCCTCGACAAGCAGTGTGTAGCACTCAGTTGGGTCTTCATTTGTTTGCTAGCCATTTGAGGAACGAGCATGGTGACAGTTCGAAGGATTTTCTTAAGAATATCGTCGGCTAAGACGAATTGCTCCGTTTTTTCTGGTACAACGACAAGAGTTCTTTTCTAGCTCATGACTGGATCGAATCTTCGTATGGGGAAGGTGGTGATCAGATCTTGTACAGAATCCAGGTAAAGCTGAGAAGTCAGCGAGAGAGCACTTTCTGTTCGTGAGAATGTGATAGATCTACGCATGAGTCGTGCAGTTAGGAGATTTCCATGTCCATAATCGATGGTTTCTCTTCTCAAAAAATTGATTCCCATGGAAGAGATGTGTTGCGGTGAGGAGTCTAACAAGATGGCTTCTCGTTTTGCTCCCTGCTCTGATTTCCCTTTTCCTCTATCCATTTTCCTTGGCCATTCCTATTCTGGAGTTGAAGTGTCTAGCAAGGAATTTATAGAAATTTTTGTTGTGGATTAGTTTCTTCATCTGGTTGTAACGCTTCCACTTATGAGTAGTAGCTATTAACTTTATTTCGACATGCATGATGAGGATGAAGAATGACTAAACGTGAAGGTTTGCGACAGATTGACTGTTGTTCCCTTTTTTACATGCGCCTATACTTGCAATCAATAGTAACAATAGTAACAATAATAATAATAATAATAGTAATAATAATAATAATGATAATAATGGTACACGGTAAGCACAACTTTTTGTTTGTTTTGAGCCACAGTAATAAGTGGATTCACAGGAAATTAACAATGAACGAATTCGATGTTGAACAAAATCCGAAGTCTGTTCGACTTGAAAATGAGGAACTTGTCATCGACTGGAAAGATACGCAATCCAGGTGAGCTTAAACGAGGACAAAAATTTCATACAGTTTATATCAGGAAGCATGAACAATTTTGCTGACAATATCTCACTTTTATCACCACGAGCATGGTGACAGTTCGATTCCGCTCCGAGCCAACCAAGCCTCTCACCCCTCCGGGGTAGGGAAATTGGTACCAGACTTCGCTGGGAAAAAGTCACTCTGTGCAGTCCAATTGGGAACGCTCCAGCCCGGCTATCTTAGGACTCCAGAAAGAGCTGATCGACCAGAATTCTTCGACATTCAAGATGAAATGAAAATCGTCAAGCAGCAGCTGAAGCCACACGTAAAAGTTGGAAGATTTTCGTGGACAATGGATGCAAGAAGACGAATCGAATGTGAGAAGTGCTAGGATCGCACAGTAGACGTGTAGACGGATCAAATAAAAAACCACGCTTTGGCTTCCACTTAAATGTTGAGAGAAACAAGGGGTAGAAAATCAGCTCCTTGGTTATTGGAGGTATCAATTATAACTTTTCTACTATGGTAGTTTTGTGATTATCACAGTTCTCTGCAGAGTCCGACCTTTATTTAATTCACTGGCATCATCCATAAAAACAATTATTTCTGCACGGTGGTATAAGGTTCTATCATGAGAATTCCGGCCGAGAGTATGAAAGCTTTATGCAGACAAGGAACACGCAAGCTTGAACTCTTTTTGGAAACCGTCTCATGTTTTTTCTCTTCCACTTGGCTTGGATATTACAATAACTTGGAAATAACAACAACTTGGAAATATTTTGTGTTACTTACGAACATAAAACATTTCTATAAGACCGTTTATTGCGTACCAGACCTATGACTAAAGCATTGTTTGAGCTTCCCTCTCTGCCTTTCTGTCGCAGCGTGTGTGCGTGTATGTGTGCGTGCGTGCGTGCGTGTGTGTGTGTGTGTGTGTGTGTGTGTGTGTGTGTGTG